GTACCGCGGATTGAACTCGGGTCCTTGCGCTTGCAAGGCAGGCCACCGAACCGCTGAGCTAAATCCCCGGCCCCAAAGCTGTTGTTCTTTGTAAAGATCTCCCTCTTGCTTCCTTTACATAATCATACCCACCTCCTCTACTTTACTGTCCTTGGCTCCTGGTAATCATCTAATCTGATCTTTGTATCCTCATTACGGGTTGCATTTTGCTACTGCTTTATATCCCTGGTATGCTTTTTACCCTTGGCCTTTTCCCTTAGCCTGGGTCCTTCTGTAGTGCTGGATACTTGCCTGAGCTGTGTTCCGGGTGCTGGCGGTGCCTTGGAGACAGTTTGAGCCTTTTGAGTCTCGCCTTGAAGGTGAGCTGTGGGTAGCAGAGTGGCGCTTGGTGTGGGAGAAATGTCCACAGCCCTGAGGTGAGACCCTCCTGAGGGCACTGCTTGGGCCCTGGGTGATGAGGCCTTGGCCTAGTAGCCAGGTAGGAGGCTGCTAAACTCTCCTGGAGTGTGAGGCAGTTACCTTTCAGCCTGTCGAGGGGCACCTGTCTTTTCCAGGCCCCGGGTAGGTTCCTCACATCCTTGTCCTTACCTCTGGTCTGCTATGTTCCTGAGTGGGACTCACTAGGGATATGCAGGCTTCATTCCCTCTACCATGAAAACACCAGCCACCCAAACTCTCCAGCGGTGCAGTGTCATGTCCTAAACTCTGGCATCCATCTCTCTCTCCCTCAGTCCCTGTGTCCCTTTCTCCCTCTCTGCTCTCTCTCCTTTGCTTCCTGGCTGCCATGAGAAGAGCGACTTTGCTTACTACATGCTCTCTGCCGTGATGTTTAGCCTTGCCTCGGGACCATGAACCAAAAAAAAACTTCATCCTTTTTTAAATTTTTGTGGTACTGCAGATGCAACCTAGGATGTTTACACTGAGCTCTATCCTCAGCCCTTTATTTTGAGACAAGGTCTCGCTAAGTTTTCCATGCTAGGCTCAAAGTTGAAATCCTCCTGGTTTAGCCTACCAGCCATCTCCTCCTTTTAAGTTGTTTGTCTCAGGTATTGTCACAGTGAAAAAACGTGACTAACACACTTCCTTACTCTGCTTACTCTGTGGCCTGGAAGTCTTCTCAGAAGCTCACCTTGTTTCCCATCTAGTGGCCTTCCTTGCACGATGATCCTTGTGCTTGAAAATTATTGCTTTGTGTATGTTGTCCAATTTGTTTTATCACATTTTAAAAAAAAAATCTTTCTTGGCCAAAAGCAGAAAGCCCATTCCTTGGTATTTCCGAAACAAAAATAAACATTCCCAAATAAACTTCCCAGGATGGGACTATAGAAAAATTTTTATTACTGGGATTCCATATTTGTAGCTTCAAACTGAATCTAGTCCATTTCCAGAATGGGGCGATGAGTGGAGGCGCCGCTGCACTTTGATGTCACAGTGCCATTTCTTTAGCACTTCCTGGGCCCCACGTCTTGTGTGGGTCACGTCATCTGCTCTTCACTTCTGTGTCAAGAAGCTTTCTATTCAGTCTGCAACTGAAGAGACGGGCTAAGCGAAGCTAAGAGATTTATCTTGGTATTTGAGCATTTAAAAATACGTTTAAAAATATTGTTCTTCAGACTTAGTTTTATAAAAAGGATTATTGTGTATGTATGTATTTATTTATTTATTTATTGGTACCGGGAATTGAACTCGGGTCCTTATGCTTGCGAAGCAGGCAGTGGAACCACTGAGCTAAATCCCCGGCCCCTATGGGGTTTTAATATAACTAATTGATAGGAAAACTAATCAGCATTTTATAGGCCAGTGGGAGTTGTCTTGTATCTGGGTAACACTCATATTATTTATTTATTTTTTTTTTGGTACTGGGGATTGAACTCGGGTCCTTGCGCTTGCAAGGCAGGCCACCGAACTGCTGAGCTAAATCCTCGGCCCTAACATTCAAATTCTAGTCTAAGATAGCTACTGGAAATCTTTTATTTCTACAACAAAAAAGAAAAATACCTTTGGGTGATAATTCTAGAAAAATGGGGTGACTAAACAGGGGGTGTTAGCTCATTTGATCTCTGAAACCACATTATTTGCTATTGTTAACATTGAGAACCTGCCAAAGAAAAATGAATTAAAAAATTCTTGAAGCTGAGGCGCAGTTGAAAATTTCTTGAAGCATAATTCAGTGGTACAGCTCTTGTTTAGCATCTGTGAGGCCCTGATTTCAATCCTCAACACCAAAAATAAATATATAATAAATACAAGAGCAAAGCAACCTTATATTTCTTTCCCAAAAGTGATGTTATGCTGAAGTTACAGAGAACAAAAGATTTTCAAATCAATGATGTAAGTGACTTCTGAAGGTTTTGACAAGCTTCTCTGCAGGTAATGGTAGTTTTCATTTGAATGATCAAACATTACCTAAATTAGATTAAGAGGACTGTATATATACTACACATACTTGAAATCATAAAGATTGTGTTATATTTTTTTTTTCTTTTGAGACAGGGTCTCGCTGTGTAGTTCAGGCTGGTCTTGAACTCATACGTAGCCCAGGCTGGCCTCCAACTCATGGCAGTCCTCCTGCCTCAGCTTCCCCAATGCTGGGATTATAGGTGGGAGCCACCACACCCAGATACAAAAACTTTAGGCAATTATGAGAAATTCTGAGCATCAACTTTATCTCTTCTGTTGTTGTTAAATTGTAATAGCTTTATTTTAAATTTTAGGATGCTTTCTGAGCCCTTATTAGCATCAGAATTTTGTTCCCACAGTTTGAAAATACCTTGACAGACACACAGGTTGGCTGAACTAACAGGTCGCCCCATGAGAGTTGTTGGCTGGTATCATTCCCATCCTCATATAACTGTTTGGCCTTCTCATGTTGGTAAGTATTATGGGGTTGCAATGTTGATTATCCTCAGAAATTAATATTGTTTTTCTTCTCCATTATATAGGGCATGGTTATTTTAAACCAAAAGTTGACTATCCTTAAATGTCATTGTTTGTATTTATTTTGCCATATTTTAAAAGTAATGATTTGTGTCAAATTATTTTTAATAGTGAGCAGTAAAATTTCAGCATCCAATTTTGACTATATTTGGGAAATCAAGACTAAAAGTCTGACAATCAGCTGACATCCAAAAATAACAAAAGTAACTGAAAAATTGCTCATTGCTAAATACCACTACTATCCAGTACATGCCCCCCCCGCTTTTTTTTTTTTGGTACCGGGGATTGAACTCGGATCCTTGTGCTTGCGAGGCAGGCCACCGAACCACTGAGCTAAATCCCCGGCCCTACATGCCTATTTTGAAGACTCATAGGTGTTAAAGATGAAGTTTGCAAATTAGTATTTATAATCTGATTATACATAACTCAGTTTAGCAGTTGCGGCTCTCATAATTCAGTTTAGCACATCTTCACCCCTCTAATCAATATAATGTAACCAAGATGCTTTTTTCTTTCTTTACCCTTTTTTGAGAATCATGGTTGATTTTTGTCTCTACCACCTGCCTTTCCAGAAAGAAGTAGAATAACTGTACTTGGGGAGAATGAATTAACCATCATGAGCACTGATAGTTTCCTCTAATCTATAGTAGCCTGTGGGTTAGAGATCTTTCCCCCACTGCATGAACGATACACAGAGGCTCATGTGGGTTAAATAAGTGTCAGAGCTGAGGTTTGAACCTGTATTATCTATGTCACTAAGCACATTATTTAGCTTAGCTTTTTTTCCCCTTAAGCCTTTCTCTGTGATGAAAGTGCATTAATATGCATTCTATTTTAAGCATCTTATCGTCATATGAACAGGTAACAAAATATTTGCAGACCGGCTCTTCTGAGTAGCACTGTCTACTAAGACAACCAAGTTTTTTTTTGTTTTTGTTTTTTGTTTTTTGAGACAGGGTCTCACTATGTAGTTCAGACTGCTCTGGAATTCACTGTGTAGCCCAGGCTGGTTTCGAACTCACAGTGATACTCCTGCCTCAGCCTCCCGAGTGCTGGGATTACAGGTGTGCGCCACCATGCCTGGCTAAGACAACCAAGCTGAAGTGTCAAGTAGATGTTTGGATAGATAGTCTGGAGTTCTAGAGTTTGTTGGGCATGAGTTGAGAGTGGCCAGTGGAGATAAAAGGTGATGGGGAGCTGGATCAAATCTCTCAAGGAGTGAGGGAAAAAAGATAGAAGGACTAAACACTGAGCCTTGGCCATGCCAGTGTTTCAAGTGCAGAGAATTAGGAAACCTTGCAAAAGAGACTAGGAAAGATCAGATAGGAAGTTAAGAGGACCAGAAGCAAGAGTGAAAGTATAAGCCCAAGTGAAGACAGTGTTTCAGGAGGGATTGAATCAGCTAAGAGATCAGGTAAATCAAGGACCAAAAGTAGATTATTTCTGTCTTTATTTATTTATTTATTTATTTATTTTTTTGGTTTTTTGAGACAGTGTCCCACTGTGTAGTTGAGACTGACCTGGAGCTCACTATGTAGCCCAGGCTGGTCTCGAACTCACAGCGATCCTCCTGCCTCAGCCTCCCGAGTGCTGGGATGACAGGTGTGAGCCACCAGGCCCGGCTTCAAAAGTAGATTATCGATGACATTGACAAAAGCAGTTTGGGTGATAGGAAGCACAGTAATTGTTTTCATTGGTCGTGGATGAAATGGAATAGAACTAATGCTTATGAAGTTCCTTTGATGTGTTAAAAATCTTGTAATTTTTAGAAGATATAACCTACTAGAGGAAGGATGCTGTTTATCCTCATTTAACTGATGAGGAAATAGGCTTAGAAATATTAAGCACTTCATTAAGGTCACGTAGCTGTGCAGAGACCATTAGTACAATCTCATGTATTTTCAGCAACAGCTTGAGCAAGTATTTCTTTCATATGCACTGTTGTGTCCTGTTAGGTCTCAGTTTTTACTGAGGAAGACAAGAAGTCTCAATCCAGATCGAAAAGGTATAAATGCAAAGAATGCTTAAGAATGGATTGTCACATAGAAGTCACCAGACTCAGTTGTGCTTTGTAGTGTTTCATTGTGATAACTCATCTTTGTATCCTTCATAAACCACAGCCTGAGGATTTCAGCTTTTTAAATGTAGCTTCTGTTTATATGGGGTATTTAATGTCTTGATAAATCATTTCGAATGTTATTTGATACTTATTTTTTAATCTCCTTTTCAAAAAGTAAGTAACCTTTAAATAATAGGGATTTATTTCTATTCTTGGGGATGTTAAATTCAGTTATATTGCAATCAATTCTATGTAGCAGTTTCCTCTAAGAATTTGCTCCAAAATGGTTCTATACTTCTGTTCTTTAGTAACAAGTATAATCACTTTCCTAGAAGCTGTCCATTAAAAGGCTTTTTTCCCCCAGGAAATATTTTTGTCTCCTTCCAAAGCTTTTCTGACTCTTCGAGACTCCATTGGAGGAAATTACCAAGTTGCAGGGAGGTCTAAAGTTTTCAGTTTTTTTAATACTACATTTCATAGTAGGGCTACTCTAGGCAGCCTAGATTTATGAATATTTTATTTGTTACCTAGTAATGAAATTTCATATTTCCTTAATCTAGCAAAATTTTTAAACTTTAGCAATCTTATTGTCCTTATGATAAATCCCTGTTTTGCATCTAGAACTCAAATTCTGGAAGGACTATGTGCCACTATTAACTTTTGAAACTGCAAAATATAGTTTATTGACAGAATATTTTTGTTTTTATTTTCAGATGTTCGCACACAAGCCATGTACCAGATGATGGATCAAGGCTTTGTGGGTCTTATTTTTTCCTGTTTTATAGAGGATAAAAACACGAAGGTAGTACATACGTGTGTGTATGTATGTATGTATGTGTATGTTTATACATGGAGTAGAGAAAAGTCTCTTTGCAATTTTTTATTTATTTATCTATCTATCTATTTATTTTTTGTGCTGGGGATTCAACTTGGGACCTTGCTCTTGCGAGGTAGGCGGTGGAACCACTGAGCTAAATCCCTGGCCCTCTTTGCAATTTTAATGGGATGATCAAAGAAGACTTCAGTGAGAAGGGCTATTGAGTCAGTACCCATAGAAAGAGTGGGAGCAAGTCTTGTGGATTTCTTAGGGGAAGAACATTCCAGGCAAAGGAAGTAACCAGAGCAAAGACCCTAATTGAGTGTGGCATATTTAGGGAACATGGAAGAGGTTGGTGTGACTGTCTCAGAGAGAGTTAGTTTTACCCTGTCATCCCAGTGTTCTGTTTTGTTATCTCCTTTTCATCTTGGAAGTAGCCCTATTTGGACATTACCTCATTTATTCATCCTAAAGGAGGCCCAGAGAATAATGGGGGCAAGATCTTTCAAGGCCTTCCTTGGCTTTGATTCTCCAATTAAGAAGCTACTAAAGAGTGACTTTATATTTTCATATGATCTCTGTGGCTGCTATATTGGTAACAGACTGGATGGGGATGGGTAGGGATAGAGTCAATGGCATCATTGAAACCATTTAGAAATATATTGTAGTAACTCTAGGTAACAGTTGATGAAAGTTTGACCACAGTGGTAGGAGTAGAGACAGTCATTGGTCAGATTAGTTATATTCTTAGTCTGTTAATAATGAATTTTCTCCGTAAAATCATTTCCAGAAAGATTGAAGTTCAATATTTAGATTTTATCCTTCATTTCAAATATTTTCTGCCTTGCCATCATAATTTTATTTATTATCATCATAGTTGTTGAATGATTTTGTCAGCTTCCAACATAGCAGTTTGCATGTTCTAGTTCTTACTTTCTTGGTTCTCATATTTGCTAGCAATTCTGTCACATGAGCAGTTGTATTGTTGTGACCATCTTATGTTGATCCTTCTAACACAAATTGATTGTGTCAGATTTCATTTTTTCGAATCTCTTTAAATTTCCATTTCTGGAAGGGCCTTTGGATTTTAGGGCCTACTAGATTGCTATGAAATTTCAAACATATAAAAATGAGTTATGATTGAAGAGATAGAAATACTTAGCCTGATTTCATTATTATATATTGTATACATATGTTGAATTACCATAATATATTCCATAAAGATGTATAGATATTGCATCTCAATAGTTTTAAAACAACACCAAAAATTAATCCTTCTTTGTATAACATTTCTTCCTTTTTTTTGAAAAAATAGACCGGCCGAGTACTGTACACTTGCTTCCAATCCATACAGGCCCAAAAGAGCTCAGAGTAAGTATGACAAAGACGAGTGTATAGTGCTTGGGTAAGTTTTGGTCCAAGGAGTTGACTGTTTTATTTCACTTTATTTCTGTTACAGGTAAGACACGAGCACCTCTGTATTTCTGATTATACCACTAACAGCTGTACAAGGAATTAGAATCTTTGTAGCAGCTTAGATATTTCAGGATCTAGGGGGAGGATCATATAAGTCATATAAGTAGTCTCTTCACTATAATAATATCACAGTCCCATTCCACATACCCTAAACTGATTTGCACTGCTAATTTTTCTCTCTGATGAATTGAAAGATGGAGATTGAATGTGCACAGTTTTACGGGTTTTTATAGATTATTTGCTGTGCCATAAACTTCAGAATTAGAGTATCTCACTGAAATATTTGGATAGGTTAATTTCTTCAGTAAATTCAACTGAAGTTAGCAAATTGTAATTGAGTGCTTTCTATATGCCAAGCACTGTGGTAGGCACTGAGGATGTGGAGATGAAAGCCAAACTCATTGTAGAATTGGGAAATGGAAGCAGGCTATGTTAAATATTTGTCTTGTAATATTGGTTGATTTAGTATAGCATTGTTTAAAATAACATAGAATTGGGGAAAAACTTAGATGCTTATCAGTACCGAACTAGTTAAATGAATTATAAGGAATTCATATAGTGGAATAATATGTAGATTTAATAAACAGCTATGAGGAATCTTAGTATTATTAAAAAGCCAAGGTACAACAGCAGAGTATGTAGTGTGCTGCCATTTGTGCAAAGGTGTGGAAAAGAATTAGATACAGCTGCATATTTGCTTGTAAATACGGAAGTATCTGAAAGGAAACACATTAGTCACTTCAGCAGACAGTGGGTGTGAGGGACTAAAGGGTACTGAGACGTCAGTGTATCCTTTATGTAGCTTTGGAATATGGGATCATCAAAGTGTTTTCTAATCAAAATTCTAAAAGTTTTCACTAAACTAATACATATACAATGTATAAAATAGTATAGAATGGTTATAATAAATAGTTTCACTTGTCAAAAAGAATCACTTCCATTCCCTAATTTTGTGTATAGTTCTTCTGATATTTACTTTTTTTTTTTTTTTTTTTTTTTTTTTTTT